ATTGATGGTTTCTGTCTTACACCACGATAAAGGGTATTTGTAGTTATTTAAAATTTAATCATCACTTTACTATTGACATTATTAAGGACACATGAATTATTATTATTATTAGACCTGCTGCTCCTGCAGATGCGGGTATTGAGCCATCAGGTTCCACGGAATATACCGCCTCTTCTCCACTCGGTATCATACCACATCAAATGCGTGGATTTTTGAACCATTTCAACAACATGATTGTAATCGGACAAGCATATGACCAATGCACAGCTTGCTCAGATTTTATTATAAACGAGTACAAAACTCATGATTTTGAGTTTTTGAAACGCGTTTTCAATTCTCCCACATATCTAGAAGAAATTACTGGGCTAACAAAATTACATCAAGAAAGTGAAGACGTTGGTGATTTCGTTTGGGATGACGACGAAGATACGGAATTGTGATTGATAAATTATTATTACGTATGTACGTACGTACATGGATAGTGTCACATATTTTGTATTATACATTTCAAGGGTCGCGGGGCGATGACACTTGAGATTCTACTATGTCACCGTGTTAAACTATTCGGTCAAGAGATTGATCAAGTGACTTTATAATCATACTGTTATTTATTAATGATATAAATAAAATAAGACAAATTTTGAAAATACTGTAATTCTAATCAATATTTTAACAAAATAATAAAGTAATAACAGGGACCTAACACATAACGTGACTTTATGTAAATCGATTCATAAGATACAGTACCTGATATTTTGCTAATATATTTTTATAATGAACTTAGTGACTACGCTTAATTATGTAACATTTCGTCATAAGATCGGATATACGTGACACTGAAACTTGAGGTTATATTAATACCAAATTTATTATCAAAATAGAAGTGGCGCTCGTCTTACATCTCTATTATTAACGATCAATGAGCTCATTTGGTGCGAAACTAAAGTCCGGTGTGAACAATGATAGCCAAAAAACTTATTCATTTATTTAAAGTAAAATTTACTGCATTTTATGAAACAAAGTAATCAAAGATAAGGTAGCACGGAAATTTACAAGTGTTTTGGGAGTCGGAGGGAAAAAGTGCAATAATATTTTTACAAGATTAACTTATATGTGAAAGGGGAAAAAAAAGAAGACTCCCAAGATAAAACAAAATGTCTCCAAACCATATGATATACGATGAGAGACAAACAAAAAGGAATGAATTGTGCAAAAAGAAAGGGAAGAGTTGAAATACATAAAAGAATGTGTAGATGATCGCATGGGTGCGTAGTGAAATATGAACAAATGAAGAGAATATGTGTAATCTATTGTAAATATAAA